CTTTTTATCTTTTAGGTTAAGAGCAATCGTAGCTTCAGCTCTAAGAGCGGAGTGAACTAGCCCTTGTATTCTCTTTAGCCCTGCTATGTGATTGTCAACATTCACTGGTGAAAGTCAACAACCACCGATTTCGGTCAGTCACAGTAACATGCACATCATTTACATAATAACCTCATCAGGACGTTTATTTCATACTTTGCCTAAATAGCATCCGACATATTTCATACTTGCCTGAAAACGTCAGGCACTATATATAATGCCGGCATTTTATACTTTGCCGGTCACATAAAAAAATTGGTAATATTAATAAATTAGCAATATATTAAATTGGTCATATTATTAAGTAATATTAATAAATAAAAACAGTTCAGTATTTTTAAGGTTAAAAAAATCACATTTTGCCGAAGATTTATAAAAGTTGCCAACCAAAATCAAATGTATAAAACTTTTGTAAGAAGATAAATATTTATTTCATAATGTCGTATCATCTTACAACAACATGTTTTAAATTAACAAAGTATGAAGAAAAATGTATAAAGACTAGGAGGGTTAACTCAATACTCACTCTGCAATTTCTTCGCATTCATCCTTGTTTATTTTACCCTTAAACTTCAATGTTTTTCACAGAATATTTTGTTTTTGAAATACACAATTATTGTAGTTTTAAGTAAGAAAAATGTGTTAGAATGTTAATCATAAAGAAATAGACAATTACCTGGATTTGAAAAACCTTTACTTGAAGAAAATAATTTTACCTAAAGAATACAGATCGTGTGAGTCAATAATATGAAATTAGTAATTGTACTCGTTGACTTTTATCTTTCTTCATTAAGTGTTTTTACTTTTGAAAATTTCACTATTTCACTAAAGGCAACACATAATGTCTCGCCCTCGTTCTCTCTTTTGCTACTTCAATTAACATCTACTTGAGATCGAGTTTATTCGAACAAATTGAATTCCGAAACGAAATGCGCTTTCACAAATAAAAATTGCTTTATCAGCGAACTTATTAAAGCACCTAACTCATTTCAAGTATCTACCTTTTGGGCAAAAAAACAAAATGCAACGTGGAACATGCCAAACAGCTTTTAATGATAGATAGAAAAACTTACGTTGATTGTCGCAGGCACAACTGGGACAAGGTTTCGTGCTGTAATCGATCTGACATGGAGCATCGCATTTCGGAGGAGAGCACTGAATGGATGGAATGTCTGTAATAAAATTTAAAAATAATAATATTAAAATAAAATAAAAAGAAGTGAAAGTTATTAATTATTTTCCCTTTTTAAAATTTGCTACGTTACCTTCAACACCAAAGGCGATTCTCACCTTCGAAATGTTAATAAGTTTGAAAAAAAAATCTTAAAGTATTGAATAATTGTTTTTTTTCTCAATAAATGAAAGAGCAAAACGTTTATTACCCAAATGTTAGCATGGGTAAATTAGACCCCCCATTTGTGATGGAAATAGGCGGAATTGGCCATATGGTTAAAGATACGCTGTATTGCTATAGGTTTGTTCTCTAACACTAGGATGACTTGGAAGAAGTATATCTGTCGTAAGTATTCTACCCAATATTTAGTCATTGTTCTGTAAGACAAGGCAAATTCCCCTCGATACAAATACAATTTGCATCAGAATTCCAGACTTTGATTGCCACCGTATGATTTATATAACTCCGTTGTTCTTGTATCGTGGCAACACTACATTAGGCAATACGAGGATTCGATCATATTGATAATTATAGTGGAAGAGAAAATTCGGAGGAAAGTTTGACTAACTTGTAGTATAAGGATTCGATTTATAGCATTTTTTTTTTCAGAAATGCTGTCATCCTTAACTCTCGTATTTGAAGGTGTAAATAGGAGTAAAAATTGAAATAAACATTCTCAAAATCTATCTTATTATAAATAACTTACTTTGATTGCCACAGACGCAACTGGGACAAGGTTTCGAGCTGTAATCAATCTGACACGGGGCATCACATTTCGGGGGAGAGCACTGAACAAGTGGAATATCTGTAACAAAAGAAAACCAACAATTATAACTGAAAAACAAAATACGAAAACGGAAAAAGACAATTTCATAAATATGGTATCGATTGTTACAATCAATTATGGAATTTTCTTAAATAAAATAAAAAGTTGACGGAAGAATAAATTTTTTGAAACGAAGACGATAAATTGTTTGAGAAAGATTCAAATTTAGCTTTATTGTAAAAGATAAGGAAATGTAAAATACCTTGTATTCGTAATGCTAAACGATCTTTTTATAAATTAATTTTGTTAAGTATGTTAGATGCTGCCTCAATTAAAAAGCTATTGAAAAAATATTGAATAATATTAATTAGTTTTTGTTATAGTTTTTAATAATCATCCTAAAATTTCGACACAATTTTTTTTTTAATATAATGTCTTAAACCTTTAATGGGATACCTGTAAGTGACGTAGTGTGGGTTTCTCGATCCTGATTGGTTATTGAAACCTGACATTTGCATACGTTAGCAACTGTTCTTTCCATTCTATTTCGAGTAGCCCAAGTTCGTCAAGTATCAATTCTTTTAAGTGACACATTCTATATTCTTTCAAAAGGTTTCAATTCTTTCATTATATACCTCTTACCTTTCCAAAAGACAGCCACGAAGCCGTGTAGAACATAAACAAACTAATTATGCATCTAAGATGGCAGGCACGCGAAACAAAAATATTTATGATTGCAATAAAATAATAAATTTAAGTTAAGTAAAAGACGTACAAGACAAAGGATTATATTTCAATACATTTGATGTGCGATACGGCACTATATTTAATTAACATCGCGTTAGTTAACATTCTAACTTATGTGAAGAAATTTAGCTCAACTTTAACACGCCATTTTGCTTATTACCAATCAGCTGGCTCTGACGTCATTGATCACATGTCTGGGTTTCCGTGATCTTCTTCTTGAAGCGCAAGTACCCAATTCCCTAAATCTATCAAACAATAATGAAACAGGAAACCAGCAGATTTGCATGTCTGGGGAACCGTTGATCTTTGCATGTTGTTGAATTTAAACTGAGCACCAACATTTAGAGACTTGAATTCATCATACCGATTATTGAATTGACTATTATTACTTTCATAACGACAACACTCTATGTCAGCTGTTGTTAAGCAGTAATACCAAAGTATGGAAGTAAAACGCATTAACCGGCCCCTAAGTGCTTAGGAGGTAGGGAATTTGGAATATCATACAGGGTCATTAACATTTATAGTCACCAAAAATCTGTTTAAGTTAAGTATTAAGTAAAGTTCGTAAAAGTTAAAAATTGAAACAATTTGAAAGATTTTAATGTTTTTACAATATATTTAAAAACTTTTGTACTTATGCTTTTCAGAGTGACATATTTGTAAGTTCGTAATGTGTGCAGTCTTAATTTGAAGAACTTAGATCGAGTTTTGTAACAAGAAACTTAAAAATTCACTAAATATGCTTTATTTCCATCCGAGCTGCAAAAACTTGGGTGCGATACTGCCTATTTCTCTCAAAGCCTCATGGTTAAACATTATCGAACGTTTTTGAAAAGGATTAGAGCGTCATTTACATGCCAGAAACTTTTATCTGAATTGTTGCAGGTAAGGATTCAAACACCCATTTTTGTATATTAAAACTTGTTAAGGCCAGAAGGGTTATTCGTTAATATTTCAGAACGATAAAAACCTTCTGTATTTAAGTTAGAGACCCATAAACATGCACAATAAGTTTTCATATAATTGAATCTTGCTGCCTGATCCATTATGGCAACAAAGTGTGTTTTTCCCCACTGAAAACCGATTTACCAGAAAGAGAAAAAAAGATTCGATGCATCATAATTAAGAAAAATCGTATTAAAACTTAAACTTTGAAATTAAGCAATAATTAAATTTTTAGAATGCATTACTTACTTGAAGCACCGCAAACACAACTAGGGCAAGGACTTGTGGAATAATTTATTTGACAGCCGGCATCACATTTAGGGGGAGAACATTGAACAATAGGATGATCTGAAATAAAGACAATCTTATTTTTATACATTAATATTATTCACAAGCCTTGGTAAACATTAAAAAATTCATCTTAATACAATTTAGTAAATAGTTTAAACTTTATTTTACTATAATTTATTATGACTTAAATCATCGTTTTAATATATTGTAAAGTAATAAACATCTCAAAAATTCATGTGATTATAAGTAGAAAGCAATATCAAGTTAAAATTTATTAAAGATTTATCACATATTTTTTTTTAACATATTGAGAAAAAACTATCTTGAAAGTCGTTTTTTTAGCACTAAATTTAAACAGATGAAATTTTAACAAGTTATTATTTGCTATCACTTATGCAATCACTCTTCTTGTCAAGAATCGTTGAAAATTTTAAATGCCGGATTGATAAAAATCAATTAGATTTTTAAGAAAATATCTGGAGATGGATTTTTTGCACTTAATTCACTTAATTTTCAAATTTTTACCACTAATGTAGTATGTTTTGGAATAAATCAAAATCCGATACCACAATATGGATGGCGGATGAGGTAGTACCACCCACGCTTATTTATAAATTTCAACAGTTGAACCCCTTACTGCTAATTTTACTTTTTGCGTATTTCGCTGTATCTCGAATACTTTTTAAGCGAATTGAAATTTTTTTTCACACAATTATAAAACTCGTTTATCCAAAGATAATTCCATGCAAAAAAATTAGTAAGTATTTATTATTTTTGATAATTTTATTTAAAAATGGACGCAAAAATTTTTGAATTATAAAGTAAACAATTTTTTGCATCATTTTAAAGAATGTAATCGGGGTGAATACCTTGCGTCAGGGTGATTCCCTTGCTTGCTACTTTTTAAAATCGCTTTGGAGAGGTGTATCAGAGATAGTGAATTGAACCAAAGAGGCACTCTCTGGAATAGGTCTCTTCGAGCCAAGTCTGATGACATCGATATAATTGGAAGGTCAGAAAGGGATTTCAAAGAGGCTTTTCGAGCTCCCGAAGCTGCTGCCACAAATATGGACCTTTCTGTTGACGAAGTTAAGACGAAATTCATGGAATTTTCGTCCTCTACTGTAAATTTCAGTGCTACTTTAGGTATTAATGGTTATATCTTTGTAAGGGTTAACGAATTCAAGCACTGTTGTTAACGATCTTTGAAAAACTCGACACTGTTGTTAAGGATCAAAACATACTTAGCAGAAATCAGAGTCAAAATGGCTATTAAGTGTTTCTTTGAACTGGGGAGAAAGTTAAGATCGAATCTTCTCAGTCAGAAAACAAAGTTAAAACTCTATAAGACACTCATATACTTCCTGTACTGCTTTAGGGAAAGCGAAACTTAGACCCGAAATTCAGGTATGTAGTGGTCACTGGACAGCTTCGAAAGAAAGATTCTCAGAGCCATCTTTGGTGCAATTCAAGAAAGGGGGGGGGGCGAACCAGGTATAACTTCTAGCTCTACCGACTCTATAATCAGCCCCAAATTAAAGAAATAATCCACAGTTATAGACTGAAATGGCTGGGATATCTGTGTAGAAGCTCTGAAAAAAAGCGCCATGAGAATCGTCACCTTTCAGAACCCTGAGGGGTCACGTCCAAGAGGTAGGCCCCCTACTTGATGGCTGAACGACATTGAAAATGACCTGGGAACCCGTAAGATTAGAAATTGGAACGGAGTATAGGAGGCGTTGGTGTTTGTCAACTGTTCCGGCAGCCAAGGCCTGCAAGTTGTGGTGACAAAGAAGATGAATTTTACATGGCGAAATACAGAACTTCGGTCAAAAGTCGGTTGAATCAATCCTGAGAAATGAAATTTGAAGTATTTGACTATTTAGAAATGCAATTTTTTAGATATTATTCGACAGATTTTACTTAAATTTTGTATTTTGCCATGTAAAATAGCATGCTTTAAAATGATGAAAAAAAATTGTATACCTTGCAATTCAAAATGTTTTTGCCTTTTATTAAATAAACTAATGGAAAAAAATATTTATTAGAAGTTAATTTTCGCGTGGATAATTGTGTGCAAAAATTTTCAATTCGCTTAAAAAGCTCCCGAGAGATGGCAAAACACGAAAAAAGTAAAATTAGCTTTAAGGATTCCAAACTTTGGAACGCGTTCTTGACCAAACTATTGGGGCCATATTTTTCGAATTGTGACTTTCGAATTTTGGGGGGCAGAAATCCGAATCCGTCGAAAAAATAGCATGTTTACTCAGAGAAAGTACATTTTTGAATCTGATTTCGTAACTTAAAATATCGTCTGTACTAATTAATTATCATATTCGAAGTCACCCCCTTGAACCATTAAGATTAATTCTCAGAAAGTTAAATTTCAATCATTAGGTCAAAAGTTATTCAGGGTTTAGCACATCTAATGCACTTGGGAAAACATTGCAAATATTTTTTGTGGCTACTGTTCTGCGAAACTCAAAAAGCATGTAATGAGTCCTCCAGTTTTTAACTGTTAATTTCATCATGAATTTTAAAATAAAAATTTAACTATTTAGGAATAAATTAAGAACACAATGAGCTTATAAACGGCAAGCGAATTTAAATCATTGTTTTTCAGTCCCTCAATATACACCCTTGTGCAAATTAATTGAAACAAACTTTTTTTTTCGTGTTTTTTAAAGAAGATGTTTTGGGGTTGTTTCTGTTACAATGGGGTTGGACCTTTGCAGCCTATTGACGGTATGATGCGTTCTGAGCAGTACATTACTATTCTGGGTAAAAAAGTTGTTCCAGAGTTGAAGAAACGATACCCTGATGGAACAGGGATTTTTCAATAGGATTTAGCTCCTTGCCATACGTCCAAAATTGTCAAGAAATTCATGTATGAGAATCAAATTGAGACATTGGAATGGCCAGGGAACTCTCCAGATATCAACCCAATTGAGAATCTCTGGGCCATACGCAAGAATCGCCTATTAAATATGGACTGTACAACTATGGAGAAGCTAATCACGGCGTTAATTCATGTGTGGTACAAGGACACAAATATTATAAATGACTGTAAAAAATTAGTGGAATCCATGCTGAATCGTGTCTAAATGTTAATGAAGTGTCGTGGAGATCATATTATGTACTAAAAATTTTTGAGTTTGTGTAAATTTAAATAAAATAGCATTTTCTCTTAGTTTTCTGAATTTATTGAGTTTGTTTCAATTAATTTGCACAAGGGTGTATCCTTGTTTACATCTGTTGCTGTAAATGCTGGATTATGAAAAATGTGTCTAATTGTGATGCACTTATTTAAAAAAGTTTTATTTGTTGGGAAAAGTATAATAGAATGAATTAAAAATAAAATTCTTACTTGAGCCTTCACAGCTGCAGCTAGGGCAAGGTTTTGTGGAATAATTGATTTCACATCCGACATCGCATTTAGGGGTAGAGCATTGAATAGCAGGTTGAACTAAAGTAAAAGCAAACGAAAAAAATAAAAGGAATTCAGAAAGGTTCATTTTTTTCAATTTGTAATAATTGTTTCAAATGAGTTGGCGAGAAACTAAGAACAATATTTTTTATTAAACGTTGACATGACGTTCTTCAATTCAGTTTCATTGTTTATATTTAAAGTTATATTTTATGCATTTGTATTAATCTACAATCGGATCCATTAAAAATCCTCGACAAAACGTTGCTTTTCTGAAAGTTTCCCGAAAAGATTCTATACTTCAAATAATAATATTTATTTAAAGGGAAGGAAAATGAAACCGTGGCTAGAAATTAACAGGAAACCGTAGCATTTAACCGAAATGGAGCAATACTTTGCAATAAAACTAAAACATAACAAAGTTAATTTCTTGTTTTTAATATTTTGACTACCTGGAAAATCTCTCAGGATTGCATTTTTTTTCCCATGAAGTTATTTTTATTTCAGATTTTTAAATAGCAAGTTTTATCATAACTTGATTTAGCGTTGTTTATTTAACGTTGTTTATTCATATTTTCATAATTTTTTTTTTATAAATTGTGAGTAAAGGAGGAAAAAAGGAAAGAAGACAAATAAATTGAGAGACGTTGTTTCAACACAATAATCTTATTTTTAAATCAATAGAAATGTTTAAAATATAGTTTCGAAGCAAAATGAAAAATTCGAACAAAATGAAACATAAGGTCTTTTTTCCCTTAAAATAGCATTAACTATATTTTTTCTTTGAAAGTGAGACGCATTATAACTTAAGTTAAAATCAAATTAATGCTACTTACCTTCTGGGGGTATAACATATATTAAGATTTAGAGGTAAACGAGGAGAGCTGTAACGTGTATAGATTCTAATCTCCGCCATTTCTCGACCTTTATGAGCTAAGTTAAGATATTAATTTGATTTCAATTTGATATTTATTTAGATAGCTAAGATATCTTCGCTGTACTGGGATTGGTTGCCAGTTTTTTCCAATTTTCAAACTTTTAAAAAGTAAAATGTGTGCAAAATAAATTTAGAATTAAAATGCATTATTTAAAGGTGGAGTGCAGTTTTAAATAAGCAGTCTCATTTCTTCCAATTTGATTACAGCATATTTGAAAGAAGTAGAGAAATAAATCATTTAAATGACTAATAGTTAAATGAACTAGTTTGAAACGAAAGTATTAAGCTTATCGTTAACATAATTAATTAAATAGGAAATTTTCCCTAATAGTAAGAGTGGGATGTTTCTTATGCCGGTAAATGTTCAAAATAGGATGCTCCTCGTATTTTGGATAATCTTTTTCTTTTTGACAAGAAGGAAAATTACTTAAAAGTGAGTTTCTCGAATAATAAGAAATCCTCATAAAAATAAAAGAAAAATGGAAGATTTCAGATACAGTGAAACCTCCAAGTTTCAGTGCCCATACCAAGGGGCAACCTATTCTGCACTTTCATCCAGCTTAACTGAAAAATTTGTTAAAATTATTTAAAAATTAAGAAAAAATTTTTTTTTAAAAATCAGAAAAAAATTATTAAAATTAAAAGTTAGTTAAAAATTAAAATAATTAAATCACCTTGAGGGCAATTACAACTTGGGCAAGGTTTTGTGGAATAATCAATATGACAACCTGGACTACACTTTGGTGGAGCACACTGAACAACTGGAACACCTAAAGACAAAATGTTGTGTAAACAAACTTATTTAAATTTCATGCGTCCATCTCATTTTGATGCAGCGCAAAGCGTCACAATAACATATACACAAAATAACCAACAGTGTCAGAAATATTCACGAAACAAATTCTTGTAAAATATTCATATTGGCTGATGAGATCATATTTTTATATAGAAAAATCAGAACTGAGAGTTAAAAAAGCAGACAATGCAACGTGTCAGAATAAATAAAATTATGTTTTTCATTTAGCAGTTCATAAAGTAAGCCATCCAAAATCATGCAAAATAAACACTTTATGGTATTCACGAAAAAGGATGACATTTCGAAAAATCATTGTAGCACCTAAAGTTTGCAAACTGAAATTTTTATTAGCTAACTATTCAATTCTCGTTTCTGATGCTTAACTTTCCTTTTAGTATTTCTCAATCTTGTATTTCTCAACTGGTAAAACTTTTTCGTTCGTGACTTTATTACAAATCTGAAGATTTTCTGTATTACAAACATTATTAGTGACAAGTTGTCACCGTTAAAAGAAGGGTAAACAAAAAGATATCATTATGCAAGGCGTCAAGCTTTTTCTGAAGTAAAATTGTCTGTTCGGCAAGATTTTATTGCCAAAGGTAAACATAGTTGATCTTTGAATTCTTCTTATAATTAAATATCTGAATTCTGACTTGTGTGATCCATAATAAATTGAATAAAAATTCTTTAGGAGAAATAGGTGCTTCTTTGATTCGTGACTTTTACATATTCGTATACATATTTAATTCGCTGTCAAATATGTAGAGCGCTTACCATCAAAAGTCAAATGCACAAATTAGTTGAGTTCAGCTTCACAAATATAAATAATTTTAAATCGAATAAAAAAAAAAGAGAAAATAAGTTAAAATAGAAAAGTAGGTAAAAATAGAGAAAAGAAGTTGTTTGCGTGTGATTATTAACCGAAATCAAAGCAAAATTTTTTTTCGAGGGATGAATTTTTTAGCAGCCATAAAACACATCACGTAATTTAAATTTTTGTTAGACAACACAATCTGTTTTAGTGTTCATATATCCTTACCAAATGAATAGAGGGATTTGTAGTGAGAATATATTTAAACAATAAAGATATTTGAAAGAAAATATGATACATTTTTATGTAAACATATTTGAAGATCAACTTACCTAATTGAGAAATACAAAAGCAACTAGGGCATGGTTTTGTTTCGTAATTTATATGACATCCAGATCCACACTTAGGAGAAGCACACTGCACGCCTAAAAATAATTTCAGCAACTTTTTTTACAACTTATCAAATTGGATTGAAATGAAAGTAGAAGTATTTGATAGCATAATGAATAAGCTGTGTCATTAGCAACTTCAAAAAAAGTATCATTAAAATCACAAACATTTTATATTAAAATATTCAAAATAGCATACAAAATAGCATAATATATTACTAAGGAGTATTCAAATGTGATTAAAAAACAACAGCATAATCACTAAGGCGATGCTTTAGTTGAGCATCTCAACGCTATTACACTAGTCACTAGGGGTAACTACAGGTTGCTATTAAAGTGGTAACTAGGGAGACTACCTCCAAATCGCAGCGTTCGTCAACCCCTAAATTACTTTCGTTGTCCCATTTGCATCGCTTCATAATCCGAGTTCACTTCTTCTCTCTCTTCTTGAAATCTAATCTATTTTGTCTTGCTTTTTATGAAGGGTAGTAATTTTTGTAAAATAAAGTTCTAAAAATATATAACGTACAATTCTAATTTTCTATGTTTGAAGAAACAACATTTGTCAGTACTCTATATTACCATAAACTTTTAAAATATACAGAAAGCAATGAAAAGAGTCAAAAATTAAAGAAACAACTTTGTAATGTAGTAGATAAAAATGGAGATAGTAATCAAGAGTTAAAACAAAAGTTAAAGACAAATCGATGAACTACAACATTCAACAAAGTAGCATAAAAGTAAACTATCTTTAAAAAATTAATGAAATTTCGTTTAATGTAAATCTGGGATATACTAAAATAAGGATTTAGCATTAACTGAATTAAAAATTGCAAATGACTGATGCTTTTTAACAGCATCTTCATTGATTTTGTTCTGGCAATTTCATTAAAACGCATCTCCTTCTAGCGTAAATTAAGCCACATTAAAACTATATAGTTGTTTTAAATTATTACATAATAAGCATAATTAAAACAAAGTTGATAAGCATAATTAAAACAAAAATATAGCAAAATTTTTTTATGAGCTGTTCGTGTTTCATTTTTATTTCTGACCAGCTTATAGTTTAGCTCATTTCAATTCTTCGTAGCCAAGACGAAAAAAGAAAATTTTCTTTTTTTTTTCTTTCTTTTTTAACCACATGCACTCGTACTAGCAGTGCAAATAATAGAAATATGTGAAATTTTCTCTTTCGTTTTTGACTTTTACTATCATCATCACATAGTTTTATTTCTCTTAATATCACTTGAATAAGTTATATCAAGTAGCAATAACAATGTAGTATTTTTTAAACATGGATTCTGTTTCAGAGACAAGCTACAAAGAAGCATATGAAGAAAAAATGTTAAAGTGAAGTAAATATAGTTATTTCTGTTCCGATGACAAGCATTAGTATCAATACTAAAATAGAAAACATGTCGCAAAAAACTGGAGGTAAACAAGAGCTTAAGGTTTGTCTTACCTATGTTTGCAAAGCCCTTCCTTCACTTTTCACTGATTTGAATCTCATACAAATCCATTTATTTATACAATTTTAATGATTTAATAAAACTGTACTAACCGTTATTAAAAGAGCATACACATGATGGACATAAACCATTCTCCTCATTGTATCGTAGCTCACATCCAGCTTCACACTTCGGAAGTGAACACTGAGTGTTGCAAACGCAAGTTGGGCAGCCATTATCACCAATCGCAATTAAGCACATATCATCACATTTAACGGGTGCACATTGAAGTTCTAACAAAATAAAAAATAAAATTTTAGCTGCAATCTGAAATACTGAAATCATTTAATATAAATGCAGCGATGTCAAAGAAAATACTTAATGGTAATTTTGAGCTTCTTTGTAAAGTTCGAATTATCGGAATTTCTTCTTCTCTTTCTCGGAATTTCTTGTATTTCTCTTTCTTTATGATTTAAGAAGTTGACTTTAAATATCATAATTAACTTGTGCATACAATATTTTGAGTTACGAAATCTGACGCATAAACGTAGATTTTCCTAAACCGAAACCACTCGAACAAAAGATATGTAAATATGCCTTTCATTTAAATGGTTTCGATTTCAACCGTCAGTATATAGTTAATTAGTTATTTTAAATTTAGATTTGAGTTAGTTGAGTTAAATTGCGATTTGAAATATACGATCACAATAGTTTAGTCAGGAAAGCACCCAAATATTTGGAACCATCAATGTTAATTTCAATTTTTGCCTATATCCCGGAATATATCAAACCGAATTCAAAACCTTTTGCGATCAATTTTAGAAATTGCAAGCAAGAAATACTTTTTTATATTTAGTTATTATTGTCTATTTAATTTAAAATTGGTCCAAAAATTTAAATTGTAAGGCATATTAATTTTTAAAAAAATACTTAAACTATGCAGTTTTAAATGACAAACTACAAAATTTGCAGAAAAATCTTGAAAAATCATTTTTTAAAATTTTCATTCCTAATGAGCTATTCAAGGGATTTTGTTTGTAAACCTTATGATTCTATAGCTTTTCAATAAAAAAGCTTGCAACGGAGTATAACTATACAAAAAAAAGTCAGTTTATATCATGGACTTGAGGACAATTCTTAAGTATCAGAGTTTATGACATCACGGTGCTTTTCTGAAAGTTTCTCCTAGCCCAACATGCTAATTTAAAAGTCTAATGCATTATTTCAATGAAAAATCACTAAATAAATTATTCTTCGTCGAAATAATTCATCTGTTTTAGTTCGATTACGAGTAAAATAGTAAAACATATAATTCTTAAAATTACTACAGGTCATTTGAAGCAAAACATTGGAAGCAAAACAAAAGCTTTAATTAAATAAGAATGTTTCCAAAGAAGAAAAAAACGCCTTCTGCTTACGTGCTACTGGGCAAATGCATGATGGACAAGGTCCAGAAGCTCTGTCATATTCGAGGTGACAACCAGGCTCACATTTTGGTGGAGTACATAACGGTCCGCAAGAACATGTCGGACAGCCATCGGCTCCTAATTTCTTTTCACACATGTGACCACATGAAACAGTTGGGCATAAAACGGGATCTGTAAATAAAGTTTGAAAAAATCATGAGTTATCAAAAATATTACTGATTACAAATGAAAATTTATGCGGGTTATTCAAAAAATTATAAAAACAGTCAAATATATTTAATAAACTAGCCAATAGTAGCAACAATGAAGTAAAGAGATTATATGACTATGCACAGTGAGTCAAAAAAAAATTTGACCACCCTGAATTTCTTTTGATCTAATGATAGGATTTTCACGTTCTAGGACTCAATCTTAATGGATCGAGGGTGATTTTTAAAATGCTAATTAATAAGTGCACACGATGCATTAAGTTACGTAATCAGGCACAAAAACGTACTTTCTCTGAATAAATGTACCTTCTTTGCGACAGTTTCGGATTTCTGACCCCTAAAATATAGAGGTTAATTGCAATCTGGAAAATATGGTTCCAATAGTTTGGCCTGGAAAGGGCTCCAAAGTTTGAACCTCTAAATGTTAATTTTACGTTTTGCGTAATTCGCTATATCTCAAGAACTTTTAAGGCGAATTGAAAAGCTTTTGCACTTAATTATTCAATTCGTTAATTCAAAGGTAATTCAATGCAAAAAAATAACTTTTAACATACATTTATTATTTTTAACTACTTTTTTAATAATCGTCAAAATAAAATTTGAATTTAAGGTGCACAATTTTTACATAATTTTAAAAAATATAATTTTGAATTTAGAAATACAAAATTTGACCACATTGAAAAATTGAGTGGTTGAATAGTTCCTGAGAAAATAAATTTCAAAAAGGCTAGATATTTAAATTTTGATTTCTCAGCAACTATTCCATAGATTTTGCTCAAATTTTGTTTTGCCTTGAAAAATTATATTCTGTAAAATAGAACACAAAGTTGTATATCTTACAATTAACCAAAGTTGTATACCTTTTTTTCGACCATTATTAAATAGAATAATAAAAAATAGTACATGTTTACTAAAAGTTATATCTGTATGAAATTATCTTTGATAAAGGAATTTTATAATTGTGTGGGAAAAAATTTCAGTTCGCTTAAGGAGTTCTCGGGATATAGCAAAATACGCCAAAAGTAAAATTAACATTAGAAAAAACATAAAATTAAGGGGTCCAATCTTTGGAGCGCTCTCTTGAACAAACTATCGTACAAGAGATATCTTCCCCCTATATTTGGGGGTCAGAAACCCGATTCCGTTACAAAAAGGTCTGTTTATTCAGAGAAAGTACTTTTATGTGTGTGATTTCGTAACTTAAAATATCATCTGCACTTATTAATTAGCATATTTGAAGTCATCCCCCCGAGCCATTAAGATTGAGTCCTAACATGTGAAGATTCGATCATTAGATCAGAAGTTATTCAGGGTGTTCCGTTTATTTACTTTTATTTATTTATTTATTTGAGCACTGTTCATTTTATTTATCAAGTACCAAAGTTATACATACTTATAATATCAAGCCTACTTTGAACTTGATTGACATAATAATTACATATCATAAATTATCAGTAAAATTAACTTTTTGTGCATAGGTCAACCTGAATACCTTTTCAAAATAAGCGTCACAACTGAACAAAAATATAAAACACACGTGAAATTTTTAAAAGACGCAATTAATGCTAATAAATTCAGTTGGATGACTTAAGTCCTTTCAGTACTACAAGTATAAAGAAAAACTTTTCTAAAAAGTGAAATTAAAAAAAAAGAAAAAAGAATTGCATAGATTTCAGACGATGTTATTTCTGTTGTTATTTTACGATGTTATTTTACACTATTCACATTCGAAAGAAACTAGCAAATGTTATTTATTGTTTGGCATTTCAGTTATGTGTTCCACACAGAGTTCGAATAATATTTAGTTTATCGACCAGCGATAAAGTAAACGAAAAATAAATTATGATTACTGTTATGTACAAAATCATGCATATCTAACCAACTGATGTAACTGACTAACATTTTTAAGTATATACTCAAGTGAAATACTGCTTAGATATTTAGTACTGAAAAGACGCAAGATAATTAAATCAAATACCTTAGCATTTCGTATCAAAAACTTTTTTTAAAAATAACATTTATATTTGGATGACTTTTCAGAAAGTACAAACCTTTATTGCAAACGCAGACAGGACATGGTCCAGTATTTGAGTTGTAATCCAAATGACAATTTTTATCACAAACAGGTGGTGTGCAAACGGGATCACAAATGCAGGTGGGACAGCCTTCTCCGTCATAAGCTTCATGGCAAAGTGGCCCACACTTGACTGGGGAACAAAGAAGTTGCGGAACGGCTGTGAATGAAACACTATCATTAGAAATATATACCAAATTAATGGTGTGAATTAATTTCAACACATTTTAAACCGAATTCTAGTTCCAGTTATTATAAAAATGACACGCATTTAAATAACAGAAGTCTTTTGACCATTTCTATAGAAAACAAGTCGCTAACAATTCCATTCATTCAGATAAATTTCCCTACAATGACTTTAGACCCAATTTATCGGCAGAAAACTCTTCAGTGGATTTTACTCTCTTCCTTCGTAACGGGCAGTGTACATTTTTTAATAAAAACTATGTCTTACATTTCTCCGTAACTAGTTTTCCACATTTATTCACAAAAACTTGATCTTGTGGCGTAACTACCGATACGAAAATTAAGCATCAATTCACTGGTATATAAGATATGCTAACTTGATTCAATCTTTTGATAGATCAAGGTTGGCATTGTCGATAACTCCTCCCCCCCCACATTGGTGACTTACTGACGTAATATGATCACGCCTATCTTGACAGTAACGCCCACTTTGATCTGGTAAAGCCTATTTCTATGGATGGTCCACATTGAACAGTTGACTTGCTACATGTGACTGCGGCGTTATCCACCTCATCACGCTGTTGCTACTCAGTCTCGTCTCGATCATACACAACATCAGCCTGCATACACTCGATTGCTAATTACAACACAGGAGCGACTACGACCGTGAATTTAATACACCTCTCACATTCGGCACTCAAAGAACCCGGTGACATTAATCCAGCTCACCCGGTCTTTCACAAGTACAGCAACTAGTGATATCCGTTCATCGAATTCTATCCCTGATAAAATTCTGGTGGGGGAGTATTGTGGCGTAACTACCACTACGAAAATTAAACATCAATTCAACTAGTATATAAGACATGCTAACTTGATTCAATCTTTTGATAGATGAAGGTTGGCATTGTCGAGAACTCCTCCCCCCACAGTCTCAATCAGTCAACTTCAAGACAGTTTCAAAAATGTGGTCTGCTTTCCTATCTTGTTTTACTGATTTTTATTATTGCTTGAGTTAGCCTGATTTTGGCTCTTACAATATCAAACACTCTAAACAAAATAATATCCTCATTTGTCTGAGTATCTAATTGTATAGAAAAATCGAATGATGGTCTTGCAGTTTTCCGTAGTTGTAGGTACATTTTTATTGGCTGAAAAGTCACATGGCAACATCCAGTTTTTAAAATTAATTTCCATATTTTTTCAGTAGTCTTTAGCATATAATAAATAAGTGATAAAGGAATTCGCGATCGTACACTCTAGTGGAGCCTGAAAATTTCAGGCATCTATTTATTAAGTTTTCATTTAGTTCTATCATAATCATTGGCAGAGTCGGACGCCATTTTCTTAGTAGCAAATAAGAAGAAATTTTACCCTAAAGAAAAGGCAGAAGAACTTGAAAAAAACTAACCAGAAGATTGGTAAATATTTTTGAAACAGAACACGCCAAACATTTGAAGAACAATTTCCCAATAATTTTTACTTTTCTATTATTAACAAGCTTCCAACCGATAACTACCGATTTCATGATCGCATACTGTTACAGATGTGTGTATTACAGTAAAATAATTTTTTTTTGTCTTCAATTCATTACAAATTAAAGTGAAGTTAACATTGCTTAGTTTATTCCAATAAATAAATATGATTTCAGAACGTGCAGAACTGTAATAGTTATATAATAGTATATATTTCTGAATCTATATAATTCGGAAAACAACGATAAAGAATCATTCGAATTACTTCAACTAATATCATTCATTTTAACTATTAATAAATTTTTATCGTTTTCTTGGGAAGTATTTTTTAATTTTGAATGATAAATTTCAACTAGTATTCAGCTATTCTGTTTTTAAGTTTCATATTGAAATTCATATCGAGATCCTGCAATTATAAAATTTTATTGTGTGGTATGTCATCTTAAAGTAATGAAGGGATCTATGTATATATTATTTGAGAATAAAGTTTTCAAAGGAAGAACATATCATTTTGGAATTCTCCGGATTTATAAAGCAGGTAAGGGTTATAATTTTTATACTAAAAAATTCTACTTGTAAATAATTTTTTTCTTCTTACTTGATGATAATTTTCTGCAGAATGGTTTTCTACATCCGATTATGAATTAAAAAAATAAGTAAGTTTTTATTTTAATTTGAGGAATTTTTATATTCTTTTTCTTCGTAAACATTCTTCATTTAACGTTTTTTAATTTATAAATAATGATTTTTATTGCAACTCAAATTTTTTGATAAAATTTGTTGCCAAAAAACTTTTTTTGCAAAATTAAATTGTATAAAATTATAAGCTTTTGTATATTTTTTGCTTATTTTAATGTTTGAAGTCATATGATTCTTAAAACTATGGAATGTAAAGTTTAAATAGGCTTTTGATGTTATATCATTAAATTTAGTAAAATTATTTCTCAGACATTAGGTTCTAACTCTAATAAGAAGATACATATTTTTTCTGCTTATTTACAAATATTTTTCCAATATGTTTTGGATGTTCCTTCTCTAAAAAAATGAGATACCATTTTGTTTTTGTTTGCATAAGAAAATATATCAAACATTTTTCTTTTTCAAATTTAATAAGACGCAATAAAGAAGGAACTTTACAATGCTACACGTTACATTAGAGACGTCTCCAGAGTAACAGAATGACTGTTCATATGGAAATCGCAGGAATTCGTCTCCAGCGCCCCCTATAGTTCGTTGCGATCACGAATTGTTTTCCTTTAAAGTGTTTTTTGCATCCGATAGTTAAGTGCACTTACCAGGAATATTTATTTATCTTATATTACCCTGCTATTATTACGTTTTTGATTTATATTGTTTTAAATTACAAGTTTAAAACTTAAAGAATTGTTTCTTTATTATAACGTAATTCTGTGATATTACTTTATTAAACCTTTTAAGATAAACTTATTTGAATCAGTGTCTAAATTTATTAATCGTTGTAGAAACATTATTTTATTGTGTAAATTACATGAATATCTTATAGGGTGTATTTCAAATGGGAGATATTTTTGATGACCAATAAAAGAATATTTTTTGTTACGGAATTTAAATGCCTTTTGGCATACTTGTTTGCGATTTCTAAAAATACTTACGATTAAGAGTATGTATAATATTATAAGAATTTCTCAAACTCTTCATTTTTTACAATTTTATTATAACGAGCAATCATTGAAAATTGACAGTAAAAAAAAAGAAGTGAAATATTTTTTATTCTTTTTTTTAAGATTTCAAAACATTTATGTATTTTAAACAATTCATTTTATGGTAAATATGGAAGATATCTTTGAATTATTTTAAATTTCCTGGTGCATATGAATTGTACTGGTAAAATATTTATTAGTTATGCAAGGAAAGAATTGTATTGTCCAAGAGAAATGTCCGGTCTGTTACAGTCAGATCTTATTTCAAAGATAATAATTTTAAAAACTAATCAGTAGATGGTACTGTAACTTTTTACTATTGCTTTCGTGATTCAGTATTATGGAATAATCATTTTGAAAAACTATCTTGAAATAAAAAATTACTTTTGATTTTCGTATTAACAGAAGGAAAGTGCTTTCTTAAAGTGTTCAGACAATTAATAACTTTTTCAAGTTAATTACAGAAACTTCATTGACTGCTTGTCATATACAGAGTAACTCTGTGAATGATGTGATATCTTCAGACTACAAGTGGTAGTAAAAAAATTCAATTACGTAAGTTTGCCTAGTCTGTTACATGCTGAATGTATTTTTTAGTGGCTTATAAGATCTAAATGATTTTGATGCCTTATATGATCTCCACGAGTCTAAATTTTAATACAATCATGATTCTGACGATTAAAACCCGTATGAGACAAAAACAAAAATCAATGCTAATCACCAACAATCGATTTAAATTTTGTTTTTTAAAATAATTTCAGCTTGAAAAATATTTCAAATTTAAAAAAACATGCTTATTGTAAGTTACTGTTACTTAAAATGAATTAGAACTAAACGATCAGCTTCATGCACTATGTGTTCAAATTATATTTAATAAATCAGATAAATCAGCCTGTTTGGTAAGCGAAAATATAGAATTACGGTTGTATAACTCACCAAATTTGTTATAACAATATGCTTTTAATTTAAAATGTTATTAAAAAATAAGATTACTAAGCATTTTTTTTGTTTTTGTTTCGTTTTACGTCCACAAAACTTTGGGTCACGCGGTGGGACATGCTTTCTCGGACCTGCGCATCCTCTCCTTAATAAAAACCTAATTTCTTCGTTTCTGTGAAATTGAACATGCCAACGGTGCAAAAAAAATTTTTCTCAGGTTTTGCAACCAAGAAAATATTTATTCAAATACAAAAACAATCGTGTATGTTGCTCTTTTTTATTTAATTTTTTTGTACTTTGCGAATATAATTTAGCATGCGCGTATCTGAAATTTCCTCGAAGAAATTATCCGATTTAACTTTTTGAAACCACTCATTTTGGAAATAAAATATTTACACACACATTTGTCAATTTGAAGTATAAATATCTATTCTCTGGTGGTTGCAGCAGACAAAGTTTTATATCTAACAATTTGATATCTGTTGCACATTAATTGTTTAATACAAAGGTGCACATTAAAGTTATTGTAGCCGAATTTTTATTATTTATTTAATATTTTTAAAAATATTATTAATAGCAATTAAATATTTTTAAAAATCTACTTATTTTAATTTGTAATTCAATACTTTTTTGTGCAACTTGGTAAAAATCTAACAGTAATATTTAATGTTCCTTCAAACATAAAAGAGTCCTACATAAAATTTTGATAAAGTTACGGCCCGCCATTTGATTTGTGTTTTTAATTGTGGCCCCCGGCCTCATACAAGTTGGAAACCCCTGGTCTAGAGGATGAACACTGGCCATACTAACGGTGGGTAAAGAAATGAATTAAAAAAAGGAGGATTTGGCTAAGCTATGATGTTTCAAGAGATCCTTACGCTACCAGCTTCGGCGAGAAAATGAGGTAACTCTACGCAAACGCATTCACTGCGCCACAGGCCACTGTGAGACAAGATCGCGAAGGGTTTAGCCATCATCTGATAAATTATTTTCGTAAAGACGTTACTTATTTTGTTTTTTAAAAAAAAACTTTCCTCCCTTTAATTGTTTTTATCAGTGTATATAAGAAAAAATGCATAGTTACGAAATATATTTTTAAGAGAAAAATATATTAATAAATTTCATCCTTTACAAAACAGAAAGATATCTGGAATTACCTTATAAATAAATAAAGAAAAGTGACCTGCAAAAATAACACTATGTACGCAATATTATTTCAAGAAAAGTTTAAAATAATACCCTTCAAACCAAAGCCTAATTGTGAACTGCACGTTGTACTCGTATAAAAAAGGAAGAGGTTTAAAATTACTGCAACTGTGAGTATGTAGGTATGCACACTATTGGCGAAACTACAATTAAAACTTTGTTATAGATATTAGTTAATATAATAAAACTTCTCATGTGCACAATGCTTAGCTACGAGCAATTAAATTTTAATTTCCCTCGTTTGCATGGCAGTGTCAAAAAAACTCATCTTTCTTGTATAAATTTCAACTATACTTTTAAAATATATATACTGTTAAATTTTGTGAAATTAAAATTGTCGATTGATTTATAATTTTTTTGAAAGTTTTACCATTCTTCCCCTTGTCATATTAGGGAATTTTTTCTATACTAGATTAAAAATTTTCACATACAAATAATAATGTCAAAGAATGAAAAAAAGACACATCTATGAAAAAGTGTTCTTACATTCCTTATCTTCGCAAACACACTCTGGGCAAGGTCCAGTCGGATATGGATTTAAGTAACATCCGGGATCACATTTTGGTGGGGAACACAAAGGTTGACAGTCACATGATGGACAACCAGATTCTCCAACAACTTCAGTACATCCCGATGGACATCGCACAGGGGAACACTGCGCTTGACCTACAAATATAGAAAAGGAGTTAAAAACCACCAGAGAATTTTCAATTTTGTCAAAACATTAAAGTTTACTCCCAAGTGCAATTCGCCAATCACGATAAATTTTGTTGCAAAACATTCTAGCAGAGAATATCCATATGCTGTAACTTATTCCCCTTCGCTGGTTATGAAATTTTTTTCCAATGGCCACCTGTGTTAACATCCATCAAGTCAGGCATATACAGGGCGATTTTGTTGGCCTCTCTTTCAGGGACACCATATTAGGTAGGCCAACATCGCTCCCACGGTGAGGACAGATAGTACAGAGAAGGAAAAAACATCCATGCCTTGCCCGGGATTCGAACCTAGAGCCTTTCTGATGCAAGGACGGTTCCCTACCCCCTACACAGGCCGGTCGGCGGTTATGAAAATAAATCTCGACAAAAATGGAGATTTTGAATTATGATAAATTATTTACCGTGAGCTCAGATTTGAGAATTAGTAATATACTGTTTTGAAAATAATTTGCTTTTATATTGGTGAATTAAATAAAAATAGGGCTCTTTCACGTGTTTCACCGTAAGTTTCAATGANTTAAAACAAAACTTACAACAGTTACTTTTCTCAACAATTGAAATTTAGAATAGGGTTTTTAAGAAAAATGTGTGAACTGTTTGGAATTTCAAATTAATATTGAAATGCACAGGTTTAGAATTTTCTACAGTGAAAAGTTTTCGGAGCTTCAGTGTTCAAAAAAGTATACAAAAGCTAGACGTTAAGAACGTATCCAATGAGCGAGCATCGGATTGCGAAGCAATCCGAAATTAACTGTGACAGCAGTTCCTGGGGATGGCGAGCGATTTAATAAATCAGATAAATCAACCTGTTTGGTAAGCGAAAATATAAAATTACGGTTGTATAACTCACCAAATTTGCTATAAAAATATGCTTTTAATTTAAAATGTTATTAGATTACTAAGCATTTTTTTTTTTTGTTTTGTTTTGTTTTACGTCTACAAAAACTTTGGGTCACTCGGTGGGGCATGCTTTCTTGGACCTGAGCGACCTCTCCTGATGGGCCTACCCTGACGACGAGTTAATTTTTCCGTATGCCCTAATTGGGGTGGATCTTGGGTAAATAGATTATGTTCACTAATAGATCTTAATATAACCATAAGATAAATAGAATTATTCGAGGTGTTTTACACAAATTACCATTCTAGTTTGATAAAAAATAAACATTTAACTTAAGGAAATAAATGTTGGGCAGGAAAACTGGGCACAAGCGTAAACGAACAAAAACTCTTTATAGTGCATATATTTTAAGTCAATAATTTCAACTTTCGTTGATACAATTGAACTGTTTCTAGACAGTGGATACCACATTTCTAGAAACCCCGCAGTCCCTACAACAGATAGCATGCGATTCAAAAGCCTCGAGTCTTCCCACTATCCTCCATTTTGTGGCATCGTCTGGAGGATGACCACTGGCCAAACTAACGGTGGGTAAACAAATGAATTAAAAAAAAAAGCAAGGATTTGGCTAAGCTACGATGTTTCAAGAGGTCCTTACGCTACCAGCTTCGGCGAGCAAAGGAGGTAACTCTACACAGACGCGTTCACAGCGTTCACAGCGTGCACAGCCACTGTTTCACGATGCCGCAGACCACTGTGAGACAGAGATCGCGAAGGGTTTAGCCATCATCTGATGAATTATTTTCGTAAAGATGTTACTTGTCTTGTTCTTTCCTCCCCCCCCCCCAAAAAAAAAACCTTTTCTCCCTTTAATTGTTTTTATCAGTGTATATGAGAAAAAAATGCATAGTTACAAAATATATTTTTAAGAGAAAAATATATTAGTTAATTTCGTCCTTCACAAAACAGAAAGATATCTGGAATTACCCTATAAATAAATAAAGAGAAATGACCTGCACAAATAACACTATGTACGCAATATTATTTCAAGAAAAGTTTAAAATAATACCCATGAAACCAAAGCCTATTCTGAACTGCACGTTGTATAACAAAAGAAGAGGTTTAAAATTACGACAACTGCGAGTATGTAGGTATGCACACGATTGGCGAAACTACAATTAAAACTTTGTTACAGATATTAGTTAATATAATAAAACTTCTCACGTGTACAATGCTTAGCTAAGAGCAATTAAATTTTAGTTTCCCTCGTTTGCATGGCAGTGTCAAAAAAACTCATCTTTCTTGTATAAATTTCAACTATACTTTTAAAATATATATACTGTTAAATTTTGTGAAATTAAGACACGTGAATGAAAAATTGTTCTTACATTCCTTATCTTCGCAAACACACTCTGGGCAAGGTCCAGTTGGATATGGATTTAAGTAACATCCGGAATCACATTTTGGTGGGGAACACAAAGGTTGGCAGTCACATGATGGACAACCAGATTCTCCAACAACTTCAGTACATCCTGTTGGGCATCGCACAGGGGAACACTGCGGTTGACCTACAAATATAGAAAATGAGTTAAAAACCGCCAGAGAATTTTTAATTTTGTTAAAATCATTAAAGTTTACTCCCAAGTGCAATTCGCCAATCACGATAAATTTTGCTACAAAACATTCTAGTATAGAATATCCATATGCTGAAACTTATTCCCCTTCGCTGGTTATGAAATTTTTTTTCCAATGGCCACCTGTGTTAACATCCATCAATTCAGGCATATACAGGGCGATTTTGTTGGCCTCTCTTTCAGGGGCACCATATTAGGTAGGCCAACATCGCTCCCACGGTGAGGACAGATAGTACAGAGAAGGAAAAAACATCCATGCCTTGCCCGGGATTCGAACCTAGAGCCTTTCTGATGCAAGGACGGTTCCCTACCCCCTACACAGGCCGGTCGGCGGTTATGAAAATAAATCTCGACAAAAATGGAGATTTTGAATTATGATAAATTATTTACCGTGAGCTCAGATTTGAGAATTAGTAATATACTGTTTTGAAAATAATTTGCTTTTATATTGGTGAATTAAATTAAAAAAAGGGCTCTTTCACGTGTTACACCGTAAGTTTCAATGAGAATGCCTCAAATTTCATTATAATTAATGTTTGAAGTATTTACGATACATTTATGGCCATCGATTTTCAGTGTGTGAGCATCATTGTATGTTTAAATAGAAAATATAAGTACTTATCGTAAACATTAATGTATATATAATCTGAAATTATATACTAAGTATATATTATTTTTTGAATATTTCAATCTGAAGATATATTGCGCCAACTGCAAAATTTACATTATATTTTATGGAGGCGAACTATGTATAATGTTTTTGAAGTAATTTCAAAGCCAACAAAATATCTTTCCTTGCTCTTATAATATTTCTTCTTAATTTATCTGTATAAATGAAACAGAATATTAGCATGTTTACTCCTTATATAAATTTACAATTCTTCGCAGTTAATTTGGTGTATTCAAAATTCTTTCCAATGACCAACTTGCGTGATATAGTCCAAAGAAAGAGTTTTCTATAGGATTAATTAAATATTTTATATTAAGGACTTTTTTGCTTAGGTCTGCGTAATCAAAAATTACTTTTATGTGGAGTTTATAACATTTTGTCTCTATTTAGGATCTATATTTTGCTTTCCGGATTATGATAGCACAAGTTAAATAAACATAGATAATTTCGCAATGTCATATAAAGAGTATCTTGACGTTACACTGAAACCAAGTGTTGCTTTGACTACTTACGCTTTTAAAACGTATCTCTATGAACAAAAAAAAAAGAGAGGTCAACAAAATTATGAAAAATTATAATTAATTATAATAATATTAAAAGTATTTACTAAGGGTCAATTTACTGGAAAAAGTGTAACTGTGACAAATATTGTTTATCACAAGTTGAATGCATGGTTACTACATGCATAGTCAACCTCTATATTTTTAAGTTGAACTTCTAAATCAATCTTTCATTAATGTAAGAATATCAAATCGCATGAAAAATCTACAAAAAATAGAAGCTAATTTCTTGGTGATAATTCAACTCGAAACTTTGTCACAAGGGAAAATACAAAATTGCAGAAGCGTGATATTAGCTCAACGTAAATAATTATAAAACTATTAGAATCCTCAATAATTTTTTTCGAGAAGTACAAATATGATTGTGGAGGTTTTATTGTGAAAGCAAAAAATTTCAAACCTATGTACTAAGCTGTTTATAAACGTCCAGTCCTGACCTATGCATCCAAAACTTGGACTCTGCCAAAGAAATAAGAGGCTTACATAGCCATCTATTAAAGAAACATCTTTCGACCTACTTTTGGAGGAGTGAAGGAAAGTGATTTGTTCATAAAAAGTACAAACTCGGAACTTCGTGTGATAAAATTCAAAAATTAAGCAAAATGCGATTTGCAGGGCCCATTTGCCACTTGAATTAACCTAGCCGAACACACAAGGTTTTCAAACCAAAGCAAATTGATAACAGAGTTAAAATATGTTCAAAATTTGAATTAAAAGCATTCAAAGTAATAAACTGGCACGAACTGGCCGAAAGAAAACGAAATGGGAAAATGTTCTATAGAGGACCAGGGCCCTACCCGGATCAATAATGATGATGATGTACAAAGTGCCAAATCAGCGAAAAGATTAAAAAAATGTCTAAAAACAAGTGTCTTAATACCACATTGCTTTGTTTGCCAAAATGATTATTTAACAATTATAACATTTGTAGTGATTTACCAAATTTAAATACTCTTAAAACATATCAATAATGCATACCTGCCAACTTTCATTCCCTTCAAGGATGATTTTCCCCAGTGGTAGTAAAATGGAATTTAAACTACAATTTTAAGCAGAAACACACGTTGTATTTTGAGCAATCTTATTCGGACTACAATGATAGTATTTCATATTAATATATATGTTTAAGTTTTTGAAAAATAGTGGTGGATCAAAAAGATTATAAATTAAGTTTATATATGCAAAGAATATATAGAAAGCATGGATTTTACTACCACTTTAAATATAGAAATAAAATTTTACGCCAAATGCGTAAAAGTTGGCAGGTATGATAATGTGCCTTTTTTAGCCGAGAAGCACCAGATAAAATTGTATCTAAATACAAGATATACAAAGGGTATGCAAACAAACAAGTATCTCAAAAAGATTCCAGATCGGATTGAAAATCTAAAACGCACGTGTGAAACATTTTCAAATAATGTATTCATTAATACCAAACTCAACTTCCTAACCCCTAAAGGTAGGCCAGAGTCAATTTCTAAATCTATAAAGGAAGGAATCCTGACTTTTTATTTAATTCCCTTATATCTATCTATATACATATATAGATAGATATACATAATATTCAGATAGAGGGAGAGGGATTGATAGATATCTTCTTAATTACTCCAATTTACTTATTTTATTATACTGATAGGCTTATGCATTCTGTTTCGTAGATGACGTGAAATGAAATTTGGGTACAGTTAGTGCGGGGAATACTAACATGAATTAAACTAATATAAGCCATCGAATGACGAAATAAAACTAAATTACCAAAATAAACTATTTATTAAAAACTGAATTGGAACATACTTCAAACTTCCAAAATAGTTGGAAAAAAAGCTCTGCTCCCTGAAACTCGCTTAAAGCCAAAGTAAACTACTGTAGCGAAAGCGTTCATCCAACTGAAGCAGGCAAAAATATTCTAGTTAGCAAGAGTTTCAGAGCGCATGCGTAACAAATCAACAAATAACAAATAAGAAAAGATTTCTCCAAATAAGCTATAGTTAGATTATTCAACTACGGCTGAACAGTTAGTTTAAATGAAGATATCTCGAAATAGACATATTTGATATTTTAAAAAACCCATTTAAGGACTTCAAACTTGACCTATCCCTCAAACACTTGGGGTGAATGTTAAAAATAAATCAAAATAAAGTAAAAGCAAGAAAAACATTCATTCCAAAGCACTTATTAGGATTACAAATAAAATTGCTCTTGAAAAAAATTTGTCTGAACAAAATTTGAATATAAATTATTTAAGTTCATTAAATCGAAAAAAAATCTATTTGTATTTTAATGATAAGCCACGCTTATAAAAATCATAATTTATTTGTAAATATGTGGGGTTAAAAACAATATTTATATAAAAACAGTATTGGTTGAAATAATTTATATACCTGTTTTAGTGACATCGCCTGGACATTTACATTTAGGACATTCTCCTTTTGGAACATTTCTAACGACTTCGCATCCAGGTTGACATTTTGGAGGGCTGCACATAGGACCACATATGCACATTGGACAACCACTGGGGTCTACTACTTCAAAGCAATCTCCCTTGCATGATACAGGAGAACAAAATAATGCGGCTGAAAACAGAAAATACACTCTTTGAAAAGTTTATTTAATTGAAAATAAATTACTTAAAATTAAGATTTTGTCAATTTTTTTTCCTTTGCAAATACATTTGCATAGTTTCTTGATCATTACTCTTACAATATATACATATTTAGATTCCACTATCAAAAAAAAATATCGCTTGATAGGTAAAAAAAAAATGAAAATTAATGATCTCGTGCAAAAAATCGAAGGCATTTTTAATATCTGATGAATCATTATTGAGGTCAATCAGAACAAGGTTTATGAACAACTATTTTATGTAATCCATTTACGCAGAAATCGGCATGGTCCAATAATATATCGCATATCAATATTAAAATCCTGCCAAATCAGTCTTGAAAGCACTGAAGAGATATTATACTGTCAGAAAGCTGTTTGCTTTATTTATATAAAAATCTTGTCTGAAAGCAAAGTTAATCATCAAAAGCCTGTCAGAAACTAAAATTATTTAAAATTTCATATTTAAAAAAGAAAAAAAAAATTATTGTCTTTACTAAATTTGATTACATGCAGCTTAAAAAAACTTTTTTTGGATATTCTAAAATTCCACTGCTTTCCTATATCTTAAAAACGATTTTCTGCTCCATACGGGCTTATAGTTTTATCACTTGAAGTTTGACAAAAGAACTCTAGACATCTATCTATATTAAGCGTGGTAATTTTGTGGCAGCCTATGCGTGCTTGCAAAACTCTACTGCAGTTTGTATGGTTATTTAAAACTAATGTTTCATTTATTGAAAATGTTTATTTATTTTTCTCAAAAATGGGAAACAAATGCCTAAATTAATTTTCTTTTAATGAGAATAGATTTAGAGATCAAAATTTTTCTCTGAAGTAGGAAGAAAATATAACCTGGATTTCTTCCGGAACATTCACAGCCAGGGCATTGACCTTCTGGCACATCTTTCTGCACAATACATCCATCCTCGCATTTGGGAGGTGAGCAAAGCTTTTCTTGACACATGCAGAAAGGACAAGAGTTATGAATCGTCACTTCAGAACAGCCTGTAGGACACACCACTGGAGAACACATTGGAGGAGGCGTTGGTGCTGATGCAAATGCTGGACCTGAAAATTAAAACTAGCTTTATTATCACAGTAAAACTTTTAAAAACAATTTAAAATCGAAAAAGTACATACAAAAGCATGAATTTCTACAAGTTACAGATCAAGATCAGAAAAAAAGCAACATAAATGGTATATACTGTTTATAAGCTATTACAGGTATGAAAACAATCAAAACATGAAAAAAAACGCACAATTTTAGCTGTCCTATCTTTTGGTTGATTGGTTGGTTGGTTGGTTTCGTATGCCTGCTTAGGCCATAGAGTTGAAATAGTAGGTAGAGGAACCGAGTTCGCTTTATTCCTTCCGAAAAGACACGCCATAGATAGCAAGCAAAGAGTTACAATCATGTGACGGAAAGAGTGCAATACTTGGCGCAGTATCACAAATGTTGGCGCACTAAGTTTTTAAACAGCTTTATTTCGGTATTACCGATGCGCAAATAATTGGAGCATTTGAAAGAGAGAGAAAAAATATTTTCGTTAATCACATTTCTGTAATATTATTAAATGGGTTTTTAAAACATGAGGAGTTTTTTTTTCTCAACAAATAATTTTTAATTAAAGTACTGATTTTATTAAAAAAAATTCAGTAGTTCTCGTCTTGACCCTTAACACTATTCCTTAAAATTTATTCATTATATAAAAATAAAAAACGATATTCTGCATCACTTATATTTATTACTATATTCAGAAAATTTTTTTTAAATGTTTTTATTGCAAAGACCTATTTTNTTAAAAAGTAGCAGTTAAAAATATTTTACTTTACAAATAAAAGAACCATAATCATTTTATGGACATTAAGAAAATTACAATGCCCATCCATAAAAAATGTAATTTTCTTAAAAATAGTAAGTGCATTTAAAACTATATCTTTTAGCCAGCTGCAAATTAAATATATACAATCTAGATAAAGGTAAAAACAGTTGAAATTTTACAAGAAAGGTTCACGATGCTAAATCTTTGCACCACAGCCAGCTGTTAGCCTTGGCCGTCTGAGCAGTTTATTCCATACCAATGCATAACATGCGCTAATTTACTGCACTAATTTACTCCTATACAACTTATCCACTTCTATGTTATGTTTTCTAAATTTGTTGCACTAAATCAAACTAATTCTACGCTTTAATATACTAGTAAAATAAAGTATTTCCAATAAAGCAACTATTTTTAAATAAAAAGAAGATAAACAAGTACTTAATGATTATATTAAATATACCTTAATTTATTTTCTAAATAGTACATAATTTGTATTCATTTTATGTATAGTAACAGAATTATATAATTTTATTAAAAATTAACACTAAAACTACTATACACTATTTTATATTTAAATACTAAAAATATTTCATAGAATTTAATTATTCATCAAACATATAAGAATATACAAATAATTTGGTTTTTAAGCATTCCTATGTAATTTAAAAAACACAACTTCTTATGTACCATATTTTTTATTTAAATATATATATTTAAAGGAAACATTTTAGAACAAGATAAATATTGGGTTTTAGTAATCAAGAGGTAAAGATATACAAAATCTTCAGAATATACAGAAATGATATCGACATTTAAAGAGAACTAAAACAAAACCGAAAGTTTACTCAACTGTTCCTTGGCGCTAAAGTATCTCGCCAAGGAAGCCAACAAAGCTTTGCAGCTATTTCAGCTAAAAATAGAATATATATTGAAATATACTTAAACATTATAAGTTTAAAGTTTAAGAAACAATAAAAACTTATGTTAAATGCAAAAAAAGTGAGCAAAAACGAGCGTAATTGATTATTAAAGCAAATAAAACATGATTATCAGAGCATGACTGAGTATCGGAAAAATTTTAAAATCAATTTTAAAATAGAAAAAGTGAAAAAAAATGTCGCCCTTTCTTGTAAAAAGTTATCGGACAGTCCCTAGAAAACTTCTCCGTGCAGCAAAATGCTCAGGACTTTTGTACCATTCTTATTTCTGAATTAAAAAGACAGACAGTTAATTGCATCAGACGATCGCAATGCTAAACGAATGGACGGGAATCGAAGCGGTCTCAGTGAACGGCAAGTTTGGGCTACAGTCACGTGACTTTATCTTGTCCACGGGTCGGGGGTTATTCTACTCTCTCTACCCAGTATTTCAACTCTATGGCTTAGTCAGAGGGGTGCGATTGTTCTTGTTTTCCAGCGGCGCCATCTATGGCCAAGAATTCGACTTCTGCCACACCCATTTGTCGCATCCGTTTGTAGGGTGGACCCATTCATACATTCATTCATTCACATATCGTAATTTTGACCTGAATCAGAGAACGATCGATCTTCAATCCAGTACCCCCAGAGGTGTTGATTTGTTATGGGAACATGGAGGACTTTGTGACTCAACATATTTAACGTGCATCAGTCACCATTTTACAACACGGGGAGTCTGCAGCCGGTGGGGTTCGAACCCACGAACTCTCGGACATGGGCCCAGCGCCCTATCGATCAGACTATCCCGGTCTGTCCTATCTCTTAATTAGGGATTTTGAAATTGAATGGGTAGCAAGATCTTCCCTAACGTAATGGAACGTCATTCAAACAGGTGTATAAAAACTATTTCATATTTGAATTGTTATAAGTTTCATCAAAAAGTAGGAGATAACTTCTCATTTATTTCTTATTGAGCCTGTGTTCTTAAGGTTAAGCTTATTTTAGAGTTGAAATAATTATTTTCCAAATCCAGGAAATTGAGCGATTCGGTATGATTAACATGCTAACAAAATATTCTTACATAAAGCTAAAATTATTGCATATTTTGAAACTAAAATGTTCTGTGTTTCTGAGGAAAATATTGTCTTTTAGGAAGAAATAAACAATGATGAGTGATGAGTTTCTTAAAAAATCGTTTAATGAACGCAGTAATTCCAAACAAAATTTTGTTAATAAATAAAGGCAAATAATAGAGAATTAAATGTAATAAAAAATAGTCAGAAATAAATGGAAATATTACAGAGAATTTCCTCTTTAAATCTACAGCATCAAATTAACGCTTCTTAACAGAGTTAGTAGGAGCCTCTACTGAGCCTAGAGTAAATAGAAACCTAGAAAAAGTAATGTCATAACTAAACGGATAAGCTTCTTGAAATCCTGGTTTATATTCTTACCTACAGAAACCAGAAGAAATATTTCTTCACAGCAGAATAATCAATCATTTAGAAGTTTAAAAATAAAACCTTTTTCTGCAATTTTAACCCAAGAATTAATGTTCTGTTTCCTGTCCTATAAGAACAACTCAAATATGTTTAAAGCAATTTTTATTTCTTTAAATCATTAAAACTTCTATACTTTCAGCTTGGACATATGTTAGAAACTATAGCGTATTCCTACATCTTCCGTCACTGTAAGAGTTTCTTTATTTAATGTGATATAAAGTTATACAACTCTAATTGAAACTTGTATCTTAACCCTTTATGGAACGGAAAATATTATTCCGAAAATTTAGTGCAGAAATAATGAATAAGAGTTATGGCTATTGTATGCATATCCAAAATCAAGTCATTGGCTATACTTGAAATTTTTCAGCAGAAAATGGGGTTGATTAAAAACCACGTAATTTAAGAAATAAAAAACTATTACAGATGTAAAGGTTTATTTTATTTTCAAAAAAAAGTGGGGCAGTTTTTATCCCACTGCTCCTAGAAGAGTTTAAGATTCACAACTTGTAATTGTAAAATCGTCAAGAGTATTTAATGACGACACTAAAAAGTGGTGTGTTTTTTGTATAGTTGGAAAAAAAACTTGTTACTTATTGCTTCCATTAAAAAAAACAGTTTTAATGCGCTTGTAACTCTTTCGAAAATTAAAATCATGAAGAATTTAAGTTCCATACATATTTATTGGAAATCATATAAAGTAGTAAAAAGATGAAATTCTCAAAGAAATTAAAATTAATTAATAATCCCAACAAGTTTAAATTTTGCTAAAGTGACTTTCCATAAATGTTAATATCCCAAGAGTTCCCAAGCTAATTTTGAATCGTAAATATGTAAGATTAAATACTCATATATATCTATGAGGGATTTTTCCTTCCAAATTTATCCAGCCTTTTGCAGTATTCCATCAAATCATTTTACCTGGTGAGTTAATATTTGTAATTATTGTAAAGAAGGTGGGAATTTTGACATAATTGAATAAAAGGTGCATACGTTTTATTGAATTAAGGAAACCTTTGAGAGATTGTTGTGCCGAATTCAAAGCCGAATCATTCATAGAATTAAATAATTGAAGGTTACGAGTTATAAGGTCGTAGTTGATACTTTTGTTGCAACTCCGGAAAAAATGCATTAAGTCAAAACACAGTAAACATCGGCAACCGCCTCTTTATCGGTATCTTTTAATATCGTCATTAAACTTGGCGAAAAAGTGATTATCTGCTTCTTGGAAGTGTACAGATCTGGATGCTTGTATTAATCTAATTTCTATCTATAATATACTTAATAGAGAAACTTCTGTTAGATCTTGTTTGTAACAGAAATATATTTATGAAAAAAAATGGGCTTAAGTTTTAATTTTGTAGAGCACTATGTTTGATATTTCGGCAAATGTTTAGAAGGGTAAAATCACAATAAATGCTTCTTACTGTCTGTACCACAGCTATTAGATTCCCTACTTTAATTTCGATTTAAAAGTCTTATCGAGGTGACTACAACATCGATGGTTCAATAAAATTCATTTTGCTTTTGTTCTGAAGCAAATTTTGATCAAATCACAGAGTGGGTTCCTATTTACGTGATTTTTTTCCTATTTATCTTCTAGTTTTAATCATTCTGTCGGCCACGATTGCTGTGGTAAGACGCTTTTGTTCTTTCGAAGAATTAGAAAGAACTATGAAGTTGTTTAAAAGCTATTGTCCAGTATACTGAACTTTAATAACCTTTCTTGGGTAAACCGGACCGTTTGGATCAGTCAAATAACATTACTGCTACTGAACGGGACTCGATGGGAGTGTTGTGAAGTATGATGCATACGTGTTCTAAAA